CCTGTGGCATGCGTTGGCCTGTCCTGTCCCTCACATCAGCATCACTCCCTGCTGGGACTGGAGCTTTCGGTGTCTGGTTCAGCTGCAGGGAACTCTCCCAGGCCCCGCCCCTGTCCCTTCCAGCCGGGAATGTCACTGCCTGCCCCGCTGCCATGCTGCATCCCTGCTCCTGAGCGTGTGTGTCCTTGCAGGGACGGCGCTGGTGCTGGCCCGGCTGCCCCTGGAGAAGATCTCGGAGTGCCTGAGCGAGCTCTGCGCCGTGCAGGTGCTGGCGCTCAAGAAGGTGCGTCTGGATGGGGGGACAGCAGCTGGGAGGGGACAGTGGGGACGCTGGCCAGGCCCCAGCCCTGCTGCAGCAGCTGTGTCCTCAGAGCCAGAGGTGTATCCTAGAGTAATGGAATTGCTGGCTTGGAGAAGCCCCTGGAGTCCAGCTTTCCCCAGCACTCCCATGGCCACCATTGCCCATGTCCCCAAGTGCCACATCCACATGGCTTTTAACTCCCTGCAGGGATGGGGACTCCACCGTGCCCTGGGCAGCAGTGCCAGTGCCAGGAATAATTTCCCCAGTATCCAGCCTGACCCTCCCTGGCTCATCTTGAGGCTGTTCCCTCTCATCCTGTCACTTGTCCCATGGGGGCAGGGCCCAGCACCCACCCAGGAGGTGTCCAGGACCGAGCCCTTCCCCAGGTCCCACCTGAGGAGGTGCAGAGGTGCTGTTGGTGGGGTCAGTGTCCAGGCAGTGTCTTCCCAGGGCCTCCTGTGCTCCTGAAATCTGGTCCTTTTCCCTCTTTTTCCAGCTGCTCTCCCAGGAGCCAAGCAACGGCCTCTCCTCAGACCCTACAGTGCCCCTGGATCGACTCGCTGTCATTTTCAGGTGAGGAAGGAGCTGGGGCACTGCTGCTCCCCCAGAGCCTGACTCTGCACTGCCTCCTTCTCCCCAGCCTTTGGGGAATGGGCTGGAAGTCTCTGCTTCCCCAGGTTCCAGCTCCTGAGGTGCCCCCAAGCCAGTTCCTGGCCCACTTCCCACAGCTCCAACCCTTTTCCTTGGCTTTAATCCCGAACTCCCCTTAACCCTTGGCTGTTCCACAGACACACCAATCCCATTGTCGAGAACGGCCAGGTCCACCCGTGCCAAAAAGTGATTCAGGAGGTGCGTGGGAGAGGGCTGGGATTTGGGGAGAGGGTTCTGGTGGGGGGTTTTGGGGTGGGAGTTTCCAGGTATGGGGGTACCTGTGGTGTTGTACAGAGTCCCAGTCCTTGGCTGCCAGCAGATCCATGTGTCTGCCCAGGGCTGCACGGGAGGGGAGCTGTGGGCACCCTCCTGTCCCTCGTGGAAGCAGGGATTGGGGTGTGGAGGGGGAGATTCGAGGCTTCAGCCCTCTGGAAGAGGTCTTGGCTCTGGGAATGTCCCAGGTGTTTGGATTCCCTGCCCGTGTCCCGTTTGCCATGCTGCACTGGAGGGGATAAGCTACCCCGGGTCCTGCAGACAGCTTTTCTCCCCCATCCGCCATCCCTCGCTGGGATTCTGGGTGTTGTGGGACGGGAGGGGCGGGCGGTGTCCCGGCTCAGGTGTGACCCTGCCCTGCCCTGCCCAGATCTGGCCGGTGCTGTCGGAGACCCTGAACAAGCACAGTGCCGACAACCGGATCGTGGAGCGCTGCTGCCGCTGCCTGCGCTTCGCCGTGCGCTGCGTGGGCAAGGGCTCGGCCGCGCTGCTGCAGCCCCTCGTCACCCAGGTGCGCCGGCCTCGGGGGGCTCGGGGGGCTCGCTCGGGGCGCAGGGAAGTGCTGCAGGGAATCCCGGCAGTCCTGGGAGTTCCAGCATAAACCCGCGGGGAGGAGGGAGGCTTTGGAAGAGGTGGGGGATGCCGGGTAGCGTATCCCCGGGTATGTGTGTGTGATCTGGGAGGTGTGTGAAACCCTGCGTGGTGCAGCTCCCTGGGGAGGTAACCCAGCCTGAGGGAAGGGTCCCTGAATCCCAGGGCTGGGTGTTCCCTGCTCCGCTTGGCTCCCGCCAGGCTCCAAGGGGAAGCTCCCATGGAGAAGCGCTGCTGCTCCCGGGACCCGAGCGAGTCCGCTGGGCTGTCCCTGCCCACGGGGGCTGTGGGGTCAGGGCAGGCCTGGCGGTGCCCGTGCAGCGTTCCTGTCTCCCCAGATGGTGAATGTGTACCGGGAACACCAGCACTCCTGTTTCCTCTACCTGGGCAGCATCCTGGTGGATGAGTACGGCATGGAGGAGGGCTGCCGGCAGGGCCTGCTCGACATGCTGCAGGTGGGGCCCGCCTGCCCTCATCACAGCATCATCAGGGTGGAAAGTCCCTCAGACCACATCGAGTTCAGCCGTCCCCCGGTGCTGCTGAGGCCACCACTGACCCCGTCCCCAAGTGCCACATCCACACAGCTTTTCAGTCTCTCAGGGTGGGGACTGCACCCCTGTCCTGGGCAGCTGTGCCAGGGCTGGACAGCCCTTTCCAGGAGCAATTTTCCCTAATATCCAGTCTATATAGGATCTCAAACTGGTTTGGGTGAGAAGGGACCCTGAAGCCCGTCCATGGGCAGGGACACCTTTCACTATCCCAGGTTGTCCCCAGCCCCCTGCAGCCTGTCCTTGGACACTTCCAGGGATGGGGCAGCCCTGGCCTGTTCCATGCAGGGAGGGGCAGCTTGAGGAGTGATCCCAGGTAGTTGCTGATGGATCCCTGTTCTCCCCAGGCTCTCTGCATCCCCACCTTCCAGCTCCTCGAGCAGCCCAATGGCCTCCAGAACCACCCGGACACTGTGGATGACCTCTTCCGCCTGGCAGCCAGGTGCCACCTCCTCCCACAGGACCCCCGGCCCCTCTCCCCTCATGGAGGGTCCCGGTGGGGCCCTGTGGGAGCAGCGGAGAGGGGAGAGGCAGGGCCTGCCCTGACTGTGTCTGTGTCCCCGGCAGGTTTATCCAGCGCAGCCCCATCACCCTCCTGCGCAGCCAGGTGATGATCCCCATCCTGCAGTGGGCCATCGCCGCCACCACCCTGGACCACCGGGACGCCAACTGCAGCGTCATGAAATTCCTGCGGGATCTGATCCACACCGGGGTGGCCAACGATGTGAGTGATGCGTGGGGACTTTCCTCGGGAGGCTCTTCCTCCGTGGGGATGGAATCCTGGGATGGGTGGGTGGGAAGGGACCTCGAAGCCCCTCCAGTTCCACCCCCTGCTACAGCAGGGACACTTCCCACTGTCCCAGGCTGCTCCAAACCCTGTCAGCCCCATCATCCTCATCTGCCCTGTCCTGTTGTCCCCACAAGCCACCCTGGTTTCTCCACCGCTGCTGGCAGAGAAGCTCTGGCAGTTGTCTGCAGAGTGAGGAGCTTATCCCTGTCCCCAGGACCAGCGTGTCCCTGTCCCCAGGTCCTGCCCACCCCCTTCTCCTTCCTCCCGCAGCACGAGGAGGACTTTGAGGTGCGGAAGGAGCTCATCAACCAGGTGATGACCCAGCTGGGGCAGCAGCTCGTGAACCAGCTCCTGCAGACGTGCTGCTTCTGCCTCCCGCCCTACACCCTGCCCGACGTCGCCGAGGTGCTCTGGGAGATCATGCAGATCGACCGCCCGGTGAGGGGAGGGACAGCATGGGGCCCTGGGGGCTGGGACCACCGCTGAGGCAGGGCCCTGGGGGCTGGGACCACCACCGAGGCAGGGCCCGGGAGCCAAGCTGGGCTCCACATTCCGAGTTCCTCCCTCTCCCTGGCGCAGACGTTCTGCCGCTGGCTGGAGAGCTCGCTGAAGGGGTTGCCAAAGGAAACCACGGGTGGAGCCATCCAGGTGACACACAAACAGCTCACCGACTTCCACAAGCAGGTCACCAGGTGAGTGGCACCGGGCTCTGCAGCTGGCACCAGCTCCCTCCCTCGGGCTGGCCTGCAGCAGCCCCAGCCCAGCCCTGCCTGTGCTGCCGGGATGTGCCCTCTGCCTGCATGGCACACGGAGCCCTCGGGGCCACGCAGCGCCTTCCCCGTCGCCCAACGGGTTTTTCTGCCCGGCCCGATCCCTGCGGAGCTGCCGGCCCTTCCGAGCCACCTCCTCACCCCCGTGAGTCACTGGTTCCAGCTGCCGGGCCCTGCCCGGGCCTGTCCCTTCCCAGGGCCACCAGCTGCTTTGGGAATGTCGGCTCCCTCTGCCTGGCTCCATCTCGTCCAAATCCCAGAGGCCAAGTGCCCGCGGGCAGCTGGTTCCTTCCGCCGAGCCACCACCGTGGTGGCACACGGATTCCTCCAGGGATAGTCCCGGGGGCTGCTGACCCCGTTCTGCCCCGATGATTATCCCTTCATCTCTCCCAACCCCTTGGAGCCGAGCTGCCACGCTCCCAGCTGCCACCCCTTGGCAGGACACCTTCCCTGGGTCCCAAAGGTCCCCGTGGGGTCACCCCTTGTCTTGCAGTGCTGAGGAATGTAAACAAGTCTGCTGGGCTCTGAGGGACTTCACCCGCCTGTTCCGATAGCTCCGGCTCCACGTGGCACCTGTCTCCCAGGTAAGGGCCTGCCTCGGGTCCCCCGCCCCGCAGCACCTCGGGGACCGAGGGCTGAAGCTCCCTCCTCCTCCCAGGAATGTCTTTAAGGAGCAGACAGGAAGCAGCAACCCAAGAATGTGTCCCACAATCAGCCGAGGGCTCTCGCCCGCTCCAGCGCGTCCCAGAGTCCGGAGCCACGGGAGGAGGCCCGGGGGTCCCGGCGGCCCCGAGCAACAGCCCGAGGGCAGCACCTCCCACCCGACTGCAACCCACCAGGCACCGGAGCCTCACGGGCCCACTCGGACTCGCCCGGCAGCAACAGAAGTAGAAAAACTTTCTGTGAAACGGAGACAAAAAAAGAAGGAAAAGAAACAAACAAAAAACAAACAATACAAATTGTTATGGAAGATGGGGGGTCAGTCTGGGGGTCCTGGGGCGCTGCCCCCCTGAGCCCACCGTGGCCTGCCTGGTGCCGACTCCCAGAGACGACACAGGCGGGTCGGACTCTGCAAATAGAGATTTATATTTTATTTTGTTCTGCTTTTTTTTGTTTGTTTTCTTGTTTGATTGTTTTCTTTTTTTTTTTTTTCCCTTTTTCAGGGTTTTCTTTGGTTTGATTTTGGGGTAGGAGGCGGTGGCTTGAGTGCAGGCAGGGCGGGTGGGCGCATGCGGTTCCCTCCGGGGGTGTGTAGCCATCTCGAGAACAATAAAAAACAACAAAAAACTGAAAAAATAACTTAAAACCTCCTGAGGTTCCTCTGGTTCTTCTCTCAGGGCTGGGGCTGCTTTGTGCCCCCCCAGCGTTGGGTACCCCCATCCCTGGGGGGCTCCAGGTCCAAGGTGACCCCAGCCCCTGTTTTTTTTGCTTTTCGCCCCAAAATGCCGGGGGGATGATCCTTGGGCAGTGCAGGAGGGTAAGGGGTCCCTTCCCCTGGGAGCTGCTGGTCCCTGGCAGCTCCGGGGCGATGGGGACGGGGCTGGGGACAGGGCCGAGGGTGCTGGGTGGCTCCGGCCCCGCCGGCCGCGATGGGCACGGGGTGCCGCACCCCACCCCGGCCGGCAGTGCCAGCGCGGGGTGTCAGCGGGGCAGGGGCCCGGGGGGCAGCGCCCAGGGCCCCGCGGAGGGGCCGGGCGGGGGCTGCGCCGGCGGCAGCCGCTGCTGGCTCTGCCAGAGCTGGTGCAGCTCCTTGAACTGCTCCACCATCCTGTCCTTGAGGTCGGGGTGCGAGATCTGCAACGGGATGCTGTCGGCCGACCAGGAGAGCTCCCCGGAGAACATCTCCAGCAGCAGCCGCGCCGCCACCGGCACCACCTGCGGGAGCCGCGGGGCGTCACCGGGACCGGGACCCCGCCCGGGGCGTCACCGGGCACGGAGCCCGCCCGGGGCATCACCGGGACAGGGTCACCTCCCGGGGCGTCACCGGGACAGGGACACCGCCCGGGGCGTCACCGGGACCGGGACCCCGCCCGGGGCATCACCGGGCACGGAGCCCGCCCGGGGCATCACCGGGACCGGGACCCCGCCCGGGGCATCACCGGGACCGGGACACCTCCCGGGGCATCACCGGGCACGGAGCCCGCCCGGGGCCCCGCGACAGCCGCGGGTCGCGACCCTCACCTGCACCGTGATCAGCTTCTTCTCCTTGGGCTTCTGGTCCGGCCACTCCTCGCCGAAGCAGAGGAAGATCTCAAAGGGGGGCGGCGTGGGGCTCTGCCCCTTCTGGAACTGGATCAGGCCTGCGGGACCGATGCCGAGCTGAGGGACAGGACGGGGCCTCGCTCCTGCCTGGGCCATCACCGCCCCACGAGGGCAGCCCCGAGAGCCAGCTGGTGATCCCATCCCAGCTCTGTCCCCCCTGTTCCACCAGGTGCCCGTGTGCCACCGGGTGTCTCCCCATCCTACCTGGTGTCCCCATCACACGTCTGTCCTCCTCATGTCACCAGGTGCCCATGTGCCCGGTGTGCCCCCACCCTGGCTGACCTCTCCATCCCAACCCACTGCCCTCAGGGGACACAGGGCCACCCCCTTCCCCTCTGACCGTTGAGGAAGCCCTCGAGGCTGAAGAGCTTGGTCCTCCTCTCCCTCTGGATGGGGTTGGGGCCGGGCCGGGGAGCGGCACAGGGCCCTGTCCAGAAGACCTTGCACTGGCAGAGCCGGAGGGCGAAGAGGTCCTGGCCCTGGAGCTCCAGGATGAGCCCTCGGTCCAGCACGTCCAGCAGCTGGTGGGTGTAGAAGCGCTGCTTCTCGTTGGGGATGGCGTCGGGAGCAGGGAAGGGCACCTGCTCCAGCGTCAGGGGCCCGAAGAGCTCCTCCTGCTCCTGCGTGGGCTCCAGGCTGCTGTGGAACAGCCGGCAGCCGTGGGGGTTGCTGACGGTCAGGGCACTCACCTGGCGGCCCCGGTACTGGAACTTCAGCTCCAGGTCAGTCACTGCCGGGGGGCCATGGGGTCAGCGGGGCCAGGGAGCCCCCGGGCCGCTCCAGCCGGCCACCCTCATCCATCCCACGGCCACTCGTGCCCATAGCCACCCCAATTCGGCCACCCTCATCCATCCCACGGCCACTCGTGCCCACAGCCACCCCAATCCAGCCACCCTCATCCATCCCACGGCCACTCCGTGCCCACGGCCACCCCAATCCAGCCACCCTCATCCATCCCACGGCCACTCATGCCCACAGCCACCCCAATCCAGCCACCCTCATCCATCCCACGGCCACTCCGTGCCCACAGCCACCCCGATCCGGCCACCCTCATCCATCCCACGGCCACTCCGTGCCCATGGCCACCCCAATCCGGCCACCCTCATCCATCCCACGGCCACTCCGTGCCCACGGCCACCCCAATCCAGCCACCCCGTGGCCACCCTTCACCCAGCTACCCAGTGGCTGCTCCCATCCATCCCATGGCCACCCCACACCCATCGTCACCTCTGTCCCACCGCCCCGTGGCCACCACCTGGCCTGGCCGCACCCATGAGCACCCACCCAGCGCCCATGCCCCCTGCCCTGCTCACGTGGCAGCATGTGCGGGCTGACCAGCAGGTCGGGGACCAGGTGCTCTGTCGGTGCCACCGGGCAGGCGGACGAGGGCCCCGGGGGGCCCAGGGGGGGCCCCATCTCGGCAACAGCCCCGGGGAGCAGCTCAGGGGCCCCGTGGGTGCCCCCTGCCTCCCCCTGGAGCAGTGCCGGGGGGGGAGGCCCGAAGGGTCCCCCCGGGGGGCAGTGGTTGGCAAAGGGGGGAGCCTCCTCCTTGGGCCAGGGGTAGGGGGGCAGCAGGTCCCCCCCGTGCTTCGTGTCTGGAGCAGAGGGGGGGTCAGAGGGGGGTCAGAGGGTGCACCCCACCCCCTCTGACACCCCGACCCACCCTGAGCCCCCCACTCACCATCGATGCTCAGGGATGTCATCTTGTGGAGCTGCAGGGCAGAGTGGGCATTACAGGGGCACCCCTGGTCCTCTGAGGTGCCCCCGGTTTGGGGATCCCCCCAGCCCGAGCCCCCCCCAGTACCTGGCTGACGTCTTCCTCCCCACTGCAGCCATAGTTATCCTCGTCCCCCCCATCTGCAAGGGAGAGAGTGGCTGGGAAACGCAGAGGGAACTGGGGGGTGCTGGGGGGATATTGAGGGGTTCTGGGGACTCATGGAGCACTGAGGCTTCACATGGGGGCTCCCTGGTGGGGGGCCGGGTCTCTGGGGGCGCTGGGTCCTTGTGGGGTGCAGGGGGCTGCTGGCGGGCTGGGTCCTCATGGGGTGCTGGGGTTTGTGGGTGCTGGGGTTTGTGGGATGTCAGGTCTTTGTGGGGCGCTGGGACTTCGGGGGCTGCTCAGAGGGCTCCCCAGAGCCCCCCGTACCTGCGCCCCCGGGGGTCTCCTCGCAGAGCTCGTACACGCGGAAGGGCTGGGCCGGGGAGCCGCGGGGCCCGTCCAGCAGCAGCCGGAACTCGCGGCTCTTGTTGAGGGCGCAGCGCAGCGTGGCCTTCCAGCGCGGCGGGTCCGGCGGGTCCCCGGCCCGGAACCGGCCCGTCTCCTGCGCCCACGCCTGTGGGGCGGTCAGCGCCCCCCCTGCGTGCCCTGCCATCCCATCCTCCCCACCTGCCATGTCCCCCTTGCCACCCCACACACCGTGTTCCCCCATTATCCTTGTCACCCCCTCCTGTGGCCCTTGTCACCCATCACCCTGTCACCCCTGTCCCTTGTCCTCCATATCCCCACTGTCACCCATATCCCAACTGTCACCCATCCCATGTCCCCACTGTCACCCCATCACCCTGTCACCCCTGTCCCTTGTCCCCCATATCCCGACTGTCACCCATCCCATATCGACTCTGTCACCCATCCCATGTCCCAACTGTCACCCATCCCATATCCCGACTGTCACCCATCCCATGTCCCCACTGTCACCCCACCGCCCTGTCACCCCTGTCCCTTGTCCCCCATATCCCGACTGTCACCCATCCCATATCGACTCTGTCACCCATCCCATGTCCCAACTGTCACCCATCCCATATCCCGACTGTCACCGATATCCCCACTGTCACCCATCCCATGTCCCCAATGTCCCCCCCGTTCCGTTTCTCCTGTCCCCCTACTGTCCCCACTCCGTGTCCCCTTGTCACCCCTGACGCATCCCACGTCCCGCTGTCCCCCCCGCCCCGTGTCCCCGGTGTCACCTTGAAGATGGTGTCGTGGTCCTGGGGCCCCGGGGGGTTCCTGGTGGCGTGTCCCCAGGGGATGACGAAGCGGCGGTGCTCGGGGTCGAGCCAGTGCAGCCCCGGGAAGCGGCGGCTGCTCACCTGGGCCACCAGCCAGGGCTTGAGGCGCACCCGGCGCGGGGGCTCCATGGCCTGGGGACACCGGCGGGCACGGCGTGACCCCGCGGGCCGCCCCCGCGCCCGAAAGAGGAACCGGGGCCCGCACGGCCCCTCTGGGCAGCCCCGGTTCCGCTTTCGGGGCCGGGAGGGTGCGTGAGGCCCCCCCCGAGCCCTGTCCCCCCGTGGGTGTCCGGGGGCATCACCCACGCCCCGAAAGCAGAAGCTGCGGTGGCTTCAGGGAAAGAAAAGAGGAGCTGAGAAGGGGCGGGACAGGCGGGACAGGAGGGACAGAGGGGACAGTGGGACACAGGGAATGTGCGACGTGAGGGGGACGGGGGGACACGGGGGACAAGGGGAGGACACGGGAGGGGAGACACGGGGACACGGAGTGCATAAAGGGAGTACACAGCGGACAGGGAGCACGAGGGATGAGGGACACATGTAGCGACACGGGGGGACACTGAGGACACGAGGGACATGGGAAACTTTCGTACGGGAGACGGGATATGGAGAAGGGAGGAGGGACACAGGGGTGACATGAGGAGACGGGGGACGTGGGATGGGGAGGACGGTCATGGGATGGGGGGGGACACAGAGACAGGGGGTGGCACACGCAGGATGGGGGACACGCGAAGTCCCGACCGCGGTCCTTGCGCAGTCACAGAAGCCCCGCGAGGGGAGACCCCGCCCGCTCCCCTCGAGCCGGGGGTCCCCGCCCGTCCCCTCGCGGGGCAGCGCCCACGCGTGTCCCGCGGACGGGCCCGGCCGCGGCCACCGCGCCTGGGCACGGCGTGTCCGGGGCTGCCGTCCCCCCTCACGGACGGGGCACTGTCCCCGCGTGTCCCCGCGGCTTTTCCCGACCATCGCAGCATCGGGGCGCCCACTGCCGCGGCCCCCTCCCCACGGGGACCGCCCCGCGGACCCCCCGCGCCCATCGGGAGCGGCCCCGGGTCTCACCTGCGCTCGGGGCCGGTGCCGGGGCCGCCGCCCGGAGCTTCCGCACGCGGGGCCGGGCGTGGGCGTGGGGCGAGACCGGCCGGGACCGCCCCGGGACGTGGGGCGTGGACCGGGGCTCCCCGTGTCCCCACAGAACCCCCCGCCCCGTGTCACCCCTCTCGTGTCCCTCCGGGCTCCCCCCACGTGTGGCCCCCGTCGTCACCCCCACGTTCCCCGTCCTTGTCCCTCGTGTCCCTTTCCGGGTCCTGCCCCAGCTCCCCGGCTGTCAGCCCGCACTGCTGGCACTGGCAGACCCCTCATTAACATACGCTTTGCATATATTTGCATACACAGTGCCTATTTCCCTCTCCACGCGACGCGCGGGGATCTCCGCGGTGGGCGGGAACACCCGGGCGCCTTCGCGGGGTTTGATTGGCTCCACCCGCTGTCACTCATCAGTGGGCGGGCCCGTGCGCCCGAGCCCCGCCCCTGAACCCGCTGTCTGTCAATGAGGGGGCGGGACTTTGGTGGGCGTGCCCAGGGGCGGGGACAAAGAGGGGGAGTGGGCGGGGCCAGACCCGGGGGGCGGTGCCGGTCCCGGTCTCGGGGGCGGTGCCGGTCTCGGGGGCGGTGCCGGTCCCGGGGGGCGGTCCCGGTCCGGTCTCGGGGGCGGTGCCGGTCCCGGGGGGCGGTCCCGGTCCCAGGGGGCGGTCCCGGTCCCGGTCTCGGGGGCGGTGCCGGTCCGGGGGGCGGTCCCGGTCTCGGGGCTCGGGGGGCGGTCCCGGTCCGGTCTCGGGGGCGGTGCCGGTCCCGGGGGGCGGTCCCGGTCTCGGGGGCGGTGCCGGTCCCGGGGGGCGGTCCCGGTCTCGGGGGCGGTGCCGGTCCCGGGGGCGGTCCCGGTCCGGTCTCGGGGGCGGTGCCGGTCCCGGGGGGCGGTGCCGGTCCCGGGGGCGGTCCCGGTCCGGTCTCGGGGGCGGTGCCGGTCCCGGGGGGCGGTCCCGGTCTCGGGGGCCGCTCCCGTGGGCGGTGCCGGTCCCGGGGCGGGGCTGCTCGCATGGCGCCGGGCGTGCCCCGCCGCACGCCGGGTTCCCCCGGTGCCCCCCGCGCCCCCCCCGGTGCCGCCGGTGCCCCCGCCCCGCCCCGGGAGGAAGAACCGAAGGAGGTACCGGGACTCCCCCTGCCCCGGGACCCGCCGGGGACGGGACCCTGGAGCGGATGTGTGCCCGGCGGTGCCGCTGTCGGGACGGCCCCGGGGGGACGGAGGGGACTCGGGGGCCCCGACGGGCCTGGGCCGGTCTCGCCCGGTTTAGCTTGCGGATCTCGGGGGTTTAATGTCATTTTTCGCCCCGATCTCGGTGCGACCGCCGGGAACGGGAGCGGGGCTTTCTCGAGAGGAGCAGATCCCGCCGGATCCAGGGTGGTGGTGCGGGAGCAGAGCCCCGCGGATCCCGGGGGAAGAGGAGAGCAGATCCCGGTGGATTCCCAGGGAAAGAGGCTCAGGTGCCCGTGAGCAGGGACAGGAGCGGAGCCCGTGGGTCCCCGGGGCGGAGGAGCCGGGGGATTCCCGGCTGGATCACCGACTGCTCTGCGGCTTGTCCCACCGCAGTGCCCGTTCTCGCCCTGTCCCTGCTCCTCCCGGGATCCCGGGTGATCCCACGGACAGCTGCAGCCTGTGTGGGTCCGGCCGCAGGCCAGGGCCTGATCCCAGATGGGAGAGGCAGCAAGGCCACCAGTTATGGGGTGCTAAAGGATATTTCCCCCAGGATCCACCCTGGGGTCTGCTCAGGCCTCACTGGGGGTTTCTGCAGAGTGGGATCCTGGGGGTGTGAGCAGCAGCATCGAGCATCTCGGCTGGGGTTCTGGGAAACGGGGACAGATGGGGGAAAACCTCAGGGTTTGGGTCATCCTGCAGTGCTCCTTCCACCCCAAACTGGTGCTGCTGCTGTCGCATTCCCGGCACACTGCTGCTCCGCTGGGTTGGGGTTTCCTCCCAGCCTGGCACAATTCACCCACTGCACTTTGTATTTTTCTGGAAAGAGGAACCGGAATAAATCTCCGGATCACCTCGTGGCAGTGGCCATGAGAGGGAGCCTGGGAACTGCCCACGCGGAGCTGCTCCAGGTGCTGTTGGATGGGATTCCCTGGAGCTGGGCTGCTGCTTCCCCGGCCAGCCGCTGCTCTGGGTGCCATCCCCGTGGACTGGCTTTTGGGGCTACTTCAGGCGGGTTTGGGCCATACGGGAAGAGCCTGTGGGAACACAGCTTCAGCGCTCTCTCCTCCCTGAGCTGGTGGCTGTGGAGCTGGGACGTGCTGCCAAGGAGCTGCCTGGGATGCCGGCTCTGTTCCGGGATGGAGGTCCATCCCCTCAGCAGGTCAGCTCTCCGGCTCTGACCCTCCCTGTTCTCCACGGCAGCTCCGAGTGGACGATCCAGCGGAAGCTGCGGGAATTCTTTGCCATCCCGCGGTGCCTGGTCAGCGTGTTCAGCCTGTTCCTGGTGGAGCTGATCCGCTTCCTTGGCGAGGCCGTGGTCCAGGTGAGCCGCCCTGCAGAGCCACAGCCGGAGCAGCTGCTGAGGATGGCAAAGTCCCTCAGTACTGGGAGGAGGAACCTCTGTTTCTCACTGTTGCACGTTTACTCTCCCGTAGTGGAATTTTTGTGTCTCAGCCCATGTTTGGTGACTCCTGCTGGCAAGTATCCCTCAAACACAGGATTTCACCCCAAATCCAGGCGCTGGTGGTCGGTGTCCTGACAGCCATTGGCGACCACGTCCTGAAGCCCTTCCTGGCGGCGGCGTTCCACAGCCTGCTGCAGCCGCTCCTGCTCTTCCTGCTGAAGGTGCTGGGTGGTGTCCGGGACCTGACGGATCCTGTGCTGGACGTGGTGGCCCGGGTGTGCTCCCAGCTGGCCGTGCTGCTCCGCGCCGTCCGGCTGGTGGAGATCCGCCTGCGCCCGGACCTGCGGGCTGGCCCCGGCGACGGCGGCGGATGAGGACAGCCGTGGGTGGCCAGATAAGATAAGGAAGAAGAATTCCTGGGAATTGCAGAAGAGCGGGACCAGCTGCGGCCCAGGAGACACCGTTGTCTCCACGTGTGTCCAAGCAGGGGGCAGCTCATGGTGTGCTGGGAGGGCAGTTTGGATCTTCTAGTTCTGCAAATATCTCCTTAACTTAATTAAATTCCAATTTTATCCATTGGAGCATTGCTCCAGTGAGGTGTTTTTCCTCTGCCTGGTGGGTAAATTGGGCTTCTCACTGACCAGTACTTCCCTGTGCAGTCTCTTGCCACCAGATGGGCTCCACGGCTGGGGTGGTGCCCAGGGCCTGAGCCTCAAGCAGTGCTGGGAGGGGATGGCTTCTGCCAGCTTCCAGCTCTCTGGGATGGTCTCCAGAGCCAGTGGTATGGGCCAGACTGGGATCTGGGGGCAATCGGTAAATAGGGATCACAGTATAACAGGATAACCACCTCTGTGTTCCTCAGAACAGGTTCTGGCGCACAGCTTGGGTCGCGTATTCCTGCCGGGATGAGGCGGCCAAGGAGCGAACGGCGGCAGCAGAGCTCTGGGTGCGTTTCACAAACACTTGGAAGGGTCAGGGCCGGGACTGAGCTGTGTTTTGGGGCTCCCCCCGCCCCCAGCCTCAGCTCCCTCTGCCCTTTCGCCGTTCCAACAACGCTGCCTCCTGGGAGCGTCTCCCCCGGCTGGCGCAATCCCCGTGTTCCCGATGATTCCATGCCCAAAGCCCTTTGCTTTTTATGGGCAGGAGCAGCATGTTTGGAGCTTCCCAGGCTGTAAGATCATCCGCGGGCCTGCGCCGGGGCCGGAGCGCTCCTGCTGGGGGCCAGGCTGGCCGGGCTATTTGGGGGGTGCTGAGTTCACGGAGCCGTGACGGGATGTTCCCTTCCCTGGGCGCTGCCAGGGGCCGGGAGCTGGGAGCCAGCCCCGAGGGGCTCTCCGGGCTCGGGTGACCAAGGGCAGCAGGAAGGGGCGCTGAGAGCTGCCGGGCACGGGAGGCGGCCGGGCTCTCTGGGACGGGCAGGGCCGCACGTGGGCACAAACAGGAGCCGGGCAGGGACCGAGTCCAGGACGTCCTGCAGCAAAGGCACCGTGCCAGGACAGCCACACGCAGGGTCTGGAGCTCCTCAGGACACCGGGGACACACGATTGTCCCTGGGAACTTCCACCCTTGCTGGGCTGCAGGCCTGGCCTGACCACTGCTCCTGTGACCTTTCCCTGACGGAACAAACCGAGGAGGGAAGGGCAGAATTGATGGGGAGGTTCTCATTGCATTGATTTAGTTGGCAAATCACTTTAATGTTTGAAGTGGTTTTAATCAAATTTGGCTGCTCCGGACCCAGGAATTCCCCGGTACAGTTTCTCCTTTTTGGCTCAAGCTCTCCTAATCAAAGGCCCAGTAGATGGAGAGAGCTGGGAAAATTCAGCGCCCGGGATGAGGAGAGGCTGATGGTGTCATCTTTGACCTCCATCCGTCATCCTGCAGCGGCAGAGGAGGGCGGAGAAAGCCCCGGAGCTGGGCGCTGCCGGTGCCCAAAGCCCCGTCCCGCCGCGGGATCCCGGCAGCTCCCGGTGCGGCGGAGCTGCCGCTGGGAATTCGGGCTGTGGATCCAGCGAGTGGCTCAGAGAAACCCGCGGGGTTTGGGTGCAAAGCGGGGAGCGGCAGGTCTGGGCCACCACCTCAGCGGGAACAAAAAAGCCCTTTTCTTCCTCAAAACGCAGCCGAGGCTCCCGGAGCGTGCCGGGGGACAGGCGGTGTCCCGGGGCGGGCAGGACAAGGCTGGGTGAGCCGCGGGGCCAGCGCCGTGCCGGGACAAGGACATTTCTGGGCTGGCAGCTGCCCACATTGCTGCTCCCTGAGATCACGGCTGCGGGCACTCGTCACGGCTCCGAGCGCCTGTCCCGGCTCCGAGCCCGTCCCGGGCGCACACCGGCCCGAGCGGGGCCACCGCCCGTCCGGGCTCCGCGGTGCCCGGTGCCCCGGGCAGCCCGGCCCGGAGCGGAGCGGGGGCGCGGGCCGGGATCCAGCCGGAGCGGGGCCAGCAGCCGAGCGCCTCGGTTCTTCCCTAAATAGCCGGCGGCGGGCGGCGGGATTAGCCGGGGCATTCCTCGGCCCGCCGCCTCCCACGGCCGCCTCGCTGCCGCTGCCCCGGCGCTCCTCGGCGCTCCGGTCCTGCCGCACGCCGCCCGTGCAGCCCCGCGGGGCCGCCCGCAGCACCGAGCCCGGCTGGCCCCGCTCCCTCGGCAGCGGCCCCGGGGCTGTGCCCGGTGCCCGCCCCGCCGGGGCAGCCCGGGGCTTCAGAGCCACTGCCCGGCCCGAGGGGACGCGGTGCCAGCCAGGGACAGGGCAGGGGACAGGGCCCGGGGACAGGGCAGGGGACAGGGCCCGGGGACAGGGCCCGGGGACAGGGCCAGGGCAACACCGTGTGGGCCCAGCTCTGGTCTGGCTCTATGGGATGGGGCCAGCTCTGGTCAGGGGTCTTTGGGATGGGGCCCAGCCCACCGTGGGGCTCTGCTCTGGAGTGTGGGGCTGAAGCTGTGAGGGAATGTCCTGTGCCTGCAGCAGGTCCCACAGAGGGTCACACCAGGCACGAGAGCATTGGGATGGATGATGGATGGATGGATGGATGGACGGATGGATGGATGGATGGATGGATGGATGGATGGATGGATGGATGGATGGATGGATGATGGATGGATGGGGAATGAGCCATTGGAAGAAGCTGGAAAGGGCTCAGTGGTTTGGTTCTGACACCACCTTCCTTCCCATGGGCTGAGGGAAACTGAAGCAGAGTGTGAGTCAGCCTTTCCCTTTGGGATACACCTCTCAGGCGGCCTCCTTGATGGAGGTTCTGCATTCCAGCTTCTCCATCCCTGGTTCTCTGTCCGTTCCATACAAATTCTCCCACTGCAGGTCCATGTGCTGGACCTGGACTATGCACACCCTCATCCAAACCCTCCCAGATTGCTAAAACATTTCCATATATCCTATTTTTCCCACATTTCAAGCACAGGTTTCCCGTCCTCTCCTCACAGATGCGCCAGGACCTCCAGGAGCTGTTGTCATATCCTCTGTGTTTTGTCTCTTCCCCCGGGGCTTTCATAGGGAATTCACAGAGGTGAAGCCAGCCTGGTGTCTGTGTCCAGGGCCCATGGTGGCTGTGGTGGGTGGAGGGGGTTGATAATAGACAGACCAGTAAAATTCCCTCTCCTTTGCCCAAATACCGAGGCCATCCTCCCTGGAGCTTTGCTGGCCGGGTGTGTGACAAGGGGGCAAACGTGGCTGCAGCCAAAAAGCTGGTTAATAAATAACAGGCATTCCTAAATTCTGGGATTTGGAAGTGTCTGAAGGTCCCATTAATAAATATCCAGCTGGGAAGTGTGTTAAAATCAGAATTTTTACCCAGTTTAGGATCTGTTCTCACAGTTGGGAGTGGGACAAGCCCACTGGGGAAGGGAAATGTCTGCCAGTGCTGTCTGAGCAGAGAAATCCCTGAATGTCCACAGTTTGGGCAAAACCAGCGGGACTGAGGGACTGGGGAGGTCACACAGGAAAAGAGGAATTGGGAGTGGCTTTTGCCTTATGCTAAATAGAGGGAGAGAAGGGGATCCAGCTGCAACAGGTGAACGGCTTTAAAAGACTGAGAATCTGGAAGAACTGAAAAAAGAAACAATGGGAATGGTGCGAGGTGTGAAAAAAGTTTGTGAGGGACTTGGAGCTGGGAGGTCCTTCAGCTCCTCCGGAAGGGGAGGAAAAGGGATTTCCACGAGCACTTCCGTAAGGAAACGCAATAAATCACTCCCAGAGCAGCAGAGAGCTCCGGGCTCAGCTGACACGAGAAAAGGCAGCTGTGGAGCCAAAAGGTGGGTGGGTCAAATGGGATTTGCTTCCCTAGGAATGGTCAGGCCAGGCTGTGGGGGAAGCGGTGGATCGTCCCCTGCCATGGGGAAAGCTGATGGAGAGCACAGAAAGAGTCTCAAACTCCCCTCAGACCTCCTGGTTTTGGTGGCATTGTTGGGCCATGGCCAGGACTCTGGGAGCTGCTCTGTGTCCCTGGGATTGGGCACGAGTGTCCACCCCACAGCCTCCTGATGCCCAACTACAAAATGTGTTTTAAAATACCAAAATTACCCTCAAACCATTTAAAAAAAATTTAAAAACCCATCTAAATCCCCTTACATTTTAACAAAAATTTTAACATTTCAACCTTCCTGAGCCATCCTTTTTTCAAAAAACCATCTCAACCCCTGAGATGTATTTTATTAATAAGATAAAAAATCTCATGCTTTCAGCGTCTGTTCCCCATATCTGGGATCATTTTTCCCTCAACACCGTGTGATTCCAGCACCAAGAGAGATTTAACGAGGGGAAAAACACAGTGAGAGGTTTTCCAAGGAATTCTGGGCTGCGCTTTTTCAGCCCGTGACTTCACCGTGGGGCCGTGTCAGTGCTGGCAGCGCTCCCGGCGAGGCCGAGGGTGGGAATTATCTCACTGACTGTAAATATCTGCCGGAGCCTCTGCCCGGCTCAGCTCCCTGGGAGTGGGGAGCCGCAGCCCCGGGATGTTCCCGCTGCCCTAATTTAGGCATTTCTGCAGGATGGGATGAATCACGGCGCTGGAAGCGCTGCGTTCCCCGCGGTGACTGCGCGGAGCTGGGCGGCCTGGCCGCGGGACCTCAGCCCCCGATGTGTCACGGAGCAGAGGCAGCGCGGGCCAAATAGAGCCTGACGCTCTGGGAGCCCGTAAACCCGCATTTGGTCCTGGGAGACATTCCCTGCCGATGGCATCACTACTTGTGCAGGGAGCCTCGCTCACCAGAGCGAGGTGTATTTATAGCCGGGTCCTCGCTTCGGACGTGGAGCCCTGCAGCTATTTTGGGATCGATGTGGTCATGGCTTGGGGCACGTCTGGGACCTGCGTGGAGAGAGGGGCTGGAGTGTCCAGGGAACGGAGCTGGGGAGGGAATGGAGCCCAGGAGGGGCTGAGGGAGCTGGGAAGGGGCTGAGGGAGCTGGGAAGGGGCTGAGCCTGGAGCCAAGGAGGCTCAGGGGGACCTTGTGGCTCTGCACAAGTCCCTGCCAGGAGGGGACAGCCGGGGGGTCGGGCTGTGCTCCAGGGAACAGGGACAGGAGCAGAGGGAACGGCCTCAGGCTGGGCCAGGGCAGCCTCAGGGGGGATTCTGGGG